TATATATATATTTCAAAATTAATTTTAATTATTTTTATAGCTATTTATTATAAAAAAATCTCATATAATTCTTTTACGAGTAATATATTAATTAGCTTTTAATATTATAAAAAAATTGCTTTAATGTTTGAATTTATAAAATAACAGCAGTCACTTTAATTATTGAGATTATTAAATAATTATTATTTTAATTCTGAAAATCATAATAATAAATATAACATGACTTGTGTTTAATATTTTTTTAGATTAAGGGGGGTGTATTGGATTAGGATTTTAAAGGACTTTCTTAGTTAAAAAAAAATCCTGCGGATTTTAAAAAGTTAGTACACTACATACCCCCTGGTAATATTGTCCTTTTAGATTTGGCTCCCAAGAAATAGTCATTTAAGAAAATAAATAAATAATTTTATTTATTGACAGGTTGAACTTTTTAAATTTGCTTTCAATGCTAAACATTATAAATTGTTTATAATAGATATTTAACATTTTCTTTAGTTTCTTCAGATATTGAGTATTCAGAAACAAGCAGTGTTATGGATGATAATGTTGGTAAAAAACAAAAAAACTCAAAATCATTTGGTGAAGATGTTCAATATTGTAATCGCAATAAATGTGTCAGAGTGTGTCATTCAAATGTCACCAATGGTGAGTGATAGTATGTCCTAATGTTACATATTAACAACAAGAAATATTTTTATGTCAAAGTATTTAATTATATAAAACACTTTAAAATGTAATTAATATATGAATGTACATTTTATAATTGCAGGAAATACTATTCCAAGTGATCATTCCCGTGAGCATTATCTAAATGATTTTATTGGAGGAAGTGCATCTAATAAAGTAGAATTATGTAGTATTCCATTGTCGGATATTACTAATGGTAAAATTAAATTTTGTAAAAGATGTCTCATTCTATTTATATGTTTGAAAATTAATGATTATTCATATTTTGTTATCATTATTACTTGGTGCCAACAGTCAAAATGTTTTCCCCTCTTTTGCTAGAAATAAACTATTATTTGGTAAAGTTGCACCTATGCAACGTCGATGTAATATGTCTCAATCTTCTGATGTAACAACTGTCAGGTTAACAGGTTAGTACTAAACAAAATTTTTTGATCTATTATTTATTTCTCAAAATTATGTTGATCTTAAAAGTGGTTATAATCAAATAAGAATTAAAGAGGGTGATGAATGGAAAACCGCTTTCAAGACCAAGTTTGGATTGTATGAATGGTTGGTGATGCCTTTTGGACTCACCAATGCTCCTAGTACCTTTATGCGTCTCATGAATCATGTTCTAAGGGATTGTATAGGTAAATTTTTTGTAGTTTATTTTGATGATATTCTCATATATAGTAGGTGTCTAAGTGATCACATAGGACACTTAAGGCAAGTTTTCAATATTCTTAGGAAAAATCAACTATTTAGTAATCTAGAAAAATGTACATTTTGTGTAGATAGTGTTGTATTTCTAGGTTTTATCATTAGCAAAAAAGGGGTTCATGTGGACCCCGAGAAAATCAAGGCCATCCAAGAATGGCCCACTCCTAAAAGTGTTGGAGATATTAGGAGCTTCCATGGTTTGGCAAGCTTCTATAGGAGGGTTGTTCACCCAATTGCTTATTTCAGTGAAAAACTCAAAGGTGCCTCCCTTAACTACCCTACCTATGACAAAGAGCTTTATGCTTTGGTTAGGGCCCTTCAAACTTGGGAACACTATCTTATTCCCAAAGAGTTTGTCATTCATAGTGACCATGATTCACTTAAATATTTGAGGGGCCAAGGAAAGTTAAATAAAAGGCATGCTAAGTGGGTAGAGTTCTTAGAACAATTCTCATATGTGATTAAATACAAGAAAAGGAAAAATAATGTTGTGGCTGATGCCCTCTCTCGGAGACACAATTTGTTAATCTCCCTTGGATCTCAAATCTTGGGATTTAATCACATTAAGGAATTGTATACTAATGATCTCGAATTCAATGAAAATTATACCCTATGCTTAGCAAAACCTCAAGGAGGATTCTATATTTCTGAGGGGTATTTGTATAAATAAGGAAGAATTTGTATACCCCAAGGATCTATAAGAAATCTTACGAAATCCTAAACCAATACACCCCCTAAAATAATATGTTTATAATTTTAAAGATTTAATTAATTTACTTATAATTTAGGACTATTTGGATGTATTATTCTTTCGTCTTCAACGTCACTTTCTAATTTGAACTCATGTACCACTTTCGGTGTGTGAAACATGTTCTCTTCCAATAATTTGGACACGTTGAGAACAATACATTGAAAAAGTATCGTTTTTACAAAAAGAGAAAAAAACAAAATATCTTTCAACATTTGAAACGATAAGGGACGAAAACTTTGCCCATTTTTTAGGAATATATCCGAATTTCGGCAAAATGGTTATGTAATTTGATTCGGAAATGATTTTATCACTATGAAAGTAAGTAATTCTTTTTGGTAAACACTAACCCTGTTACTTGTTTATATATCTGTACTTGTATTATATAAACTCTTAAATTATTACAAAATTCCATACAAATAATCAAGATAATGAATGATTATAATTTAACCATTATTGAGAAAAAAAATTACATTTATCTACATTAAGAAATGTCTACATTAAAAATTTCACTTTTATTACCAATGAGTCTTTTTGATTAATTATATTCATCAAAATAAAATTTTATTAGACATAAAATATTAGACTCGTATCATTAAAAACGTGAATTCAATCTGGTATCAGTTTATAATGGCATGATAGGAAAAAAAATTCTTAAGTAATTATACCACCAAAATAAAATTTTAATAATTATAAAAAAATTGTAAAGTTCGCAACATTAAAAAATGCAAGGTCAAAATAAAAAAGAAAAAATAAAAAATTATCGATGATTTTCGCGAGACCATTGGTCAAAATAGTACTTATTTTTAAGGTAAAAATATGTCATATACTACTTTTATATATGCTACTTTTTGGTGGATTTTGTATAGTACGTCTTTACAACCTTGATTCAAGCATAATAGTGAACTTTTAAAGATTTTCATTATAAAATAGTGATTTGTAACTAGGCTTAATAAGAAAAGTTAATTAAGATGGTATGTCTCAATTATATGATGATAAGCGTACAAACAAGTGAAACAGCTCATTGATTTCACATGTTCAATCTCTTAAAAATTTAATAAATATGTTAAAATTAAGATAATTATAGTAATTTTATGTGTTTTAATCTAATTTTAAATATTTATCCTTCATAGTGGTCTCAAATAAAAGAGAGAGATTCAAATTAAGATTTTTTTATTCTTGATAAAATAATTCTTAACACACATGGTTTGACACTTTATTACTTAGTTAAGGATTAAAATTCAACCTCCAACTTAAAAA